CTGAGAACGATCTGTGTACGATCGCAAAGGTATATTACGATACTCTCAGAACATTCTCAAACGTACTATGATCGACGTAGTATGTTTTGAGAACGTTCGAATAGCCGGAGTAGCATCTTCCATAGAATTTCGCAGCAAATGTCTACAGATTTACGCAATGATGAAAAACGGGAAAGAAACAGTCGCTCACATATACACAACATACTGACATACACGCACACATATACGCAGCCAGGCGCACGCGCTCACGCATTAGGGTTAGGGTTTTTTTAGATTACGTTATTAATAATGATTTATTGACTCGATCCGACTCCAAGTTGATGATCTGTTCTTTTTAGATATAAAAGAATAGTTAAAGTGCAAGAAACACAGTTAAAAAGAACAGACCATTGACTCGGAGTCGGATTGAATCAACAAATCGAAAACGCTATATAATTGTACACAAAAATATATTTGAAAAGTACTTTTATTTTTGTAATTAAAAATGAACTTTATTTTGAACTTATAAGTAATATATATAAGGCATCGAGGATTCCATATGGTGAATCCCCTATCAATCGCAACTTTTCATAAAATAGTACAGAACGATAAAGGAAACGCGTTTACGTAAAACAAAATTTTCTATTGAAAAAAACTGAAACTTGAACTGAAAAAAACTGAAAATACAAAAAATTAAAAAATAAACAAAAATTTCATATAAGAGAGAAAGTATCCATTCATTTTTAGTACTTAAAAAAATTTTTAGAAAAAATTTTTAAGCAAAATGTTGACAGCACCGTTTTAACAGAAAAATACATGCACAGGAATTTCAATTAGTGACGTTCTTCCAGTTTTTCGGGTTTGTTGTGTTGTCCGTTGTTTTGTTCAGGAATATTGTTTTCTTTATTTCGTTCTCTCTTCTTTTCTCTTTCCATGCGCTCTTTGGCATGTGCCAACCAAATTTTTATAGGATTAGAAATCTGTTCATCTCTTACTAATTCGTGTGCGTTTCTTATCACATCTGCAAAAATAAGAAAATTTTTAAATATTTTCATTATTTCTAAATTAAAATATCTTCATTTTTTAACAAGCTTGTAATATTATGTAATTTAAATTAAAAAATATATAATACTTTACTGATTAAGTATATAAAAGTATGCAAGATAATTTTATTTCTAATGCATGTGTATGCGATGGTTGATAGTAAATAAATATCAATATCATTATTAAACATATCAATAATTTTTTTATATTTTTCATATAATTAATAAATGGCACAAATATTTTTGAACATATTTTTCTTTTAAAAAGAAATTTAACATGTAATATTAATAAAACAGAAAAAAATATTTTACTTACTTAAAATAACTTGACACAATTTCAATTTGGAAAAGTTTTCTTTTGTTTTGGCACCATACCAGCTAAACAACACCGCAACTTCATTACAGAAGATTTGTCTCATTAAGCATAAACAGGACTGCTTCACGTCGTGTCCTGTTAATCTATGCAATTGCTTAATCTGGAATATTTAAAAATTATTAATATTATGTTTTAAGTATGAGCAATCAAAAGTTGTTGTTTAATTATTCTTTAGAGACGGCATGAAGCGTCTTTAACTAATGTGTCAATTTGAGATTTGCAATCGTCTATTTATCCTTTTCATAAAAAATTTTTTTTAATATCAAAGTAATTGTACTCACCATTTCGTTCCGATAATGTTCGTCATTAAGTTTATTTTCCATAATTTGTAAATCGTCTCTATTTCTCAGAGGTAGATCTTGGAAAATATCTATCTTCTGCTCAGCTTCAGCTGTTACCTGTACTGAATTTGCATGAGGTATCTTTTGCAAAATCTGTTTAAGTTGTTTTGCAAGATTACTCATTTTAATTTCCATATGTTGAAGTTTTTTAACGATGAAACGTTCGAAATCAGATCTTAGAACACATTCAAAATACATTTAAACGTATGTGTATACATGTACAGTCATGAACACATTGGTTGCGACACTTTCTTTTTTATAGATTTCAAAACGCACTAATATTTTGCAAATGCAGATCACGATTGGTGTTATACTGTGTCTAGACTAAAGATAGTATATACATTGTGGTTCGCATTTGCAAAATATTAGTTATCTATTAAGTACATACTATGTATATACTATGTATAAAGTATGTGTAAAGTATATACTATGTATATTAAATATATATTATAAGAAACCTATAAAAAAAGCGTTGCAACCGATTTGTCCACGATTGTACATATATTTAAATAAAATAATTTTTTTTTACATTTTCCAGTCTTTTCACATATTTGAATTTGATGAAATTATGAAAGTAAATAAATGATTAATATGTAAACATTTCTGAAAATTTATTTTATGTATATAGACTATAGTTTTCTAAAATATTATTGCTGTCTCTTATACACATCTCTGAGCGGGCT